ACCACTGGACGGGGCGAGGAGGCTGAAGCGACCGCCGGATGAGAGGGGGGCGAGCTGGAAAGATGATGTCTCGTGCGGGGAGGGCAGGGGGTCGTGGAGACCCCTTTGGATCTCCGAGGGCAAGTCGAGCCGTTAATCCTTCTCCTCTAAATCGGATCGAAACAGATTTGGGGGCGGGGGGCTGGAAGATGGGACGATGGACCATAACTCCCGGAGTGTTGCCTGCGGAAGGCTTGTTGAGGGGGCAAGCGCGTTTAACTCGGGGTCCTCGATGGCTGTGTTCCCACGACCCGCTAAGCCACCAACCAGCCACTCCTCCTCTAGCTTAGGTGGATGTGGAGACCCAGCTCTGGGCTGGTGGTTCTCTCGGTCTGACAAAACTAGAGAATTTGGGGGAATCGAGGTCACAGTCGTGCGAACCCAGTCAGCCAGAATTCAGTAAGGAGAGAATTGACTAAAGGAATTCAATGCCCAGCTTACGAAGCTGAGGACCTGGAGGTGTGGGGAGAGGAAAAGGTATCCCAAATAAATATGTTAATAGATTAAAAAGAAAAACGGGGAGTGGGAAAAATGCAGGAGACAGTTTGAGAAGTGTCCTTGGGAATTTGAAATAAGTCCTAGGGAATTTGAAACTCTGTGACAACTAAACGTGAGATTCAAGAGAGAGAGAGAGAAAGAGAGAATGTATTGATAAACTCATTTCTGGTTTTTCTTGGAGGGAGGAGCGGGGAAAGGCTGTGCGGGTGGGAGTCTTCTCATAAGATCCAGTTGGGTCCTTCGCCTAAAGTGTCTGAAAAGGAAACTCTTGGTGAGCGTTTCCAGGCCAGCTTCTCGCCTGCGTTTGGGGGGGGGGGGTGTTCGTCGTGGGGGGGGGGGCAAGTTGCTTGCTGTTTCTATCAGCAATTAAACCGAGCTGGGGGAGACCGGGCAGGAGTGAAGATGACCCCAGTTAGCTTCGAAACGGGGGGGGGGGGGAGAGGTGGGTTGCGTGTGGTCAAAACCCGAT